GGAATATTGTTGTCGGGAAGACCTGCAGACATTCAAACAACATTTGTGCTACAAAAAAAAATACATATACATACGTGCAATTTATAAGTTAGAATGCCGTGATACTTTAAACAACGATTTAAAGAATCAAATATTTTAATTCAGCCTAGTAAATTTATATTTGCAAACATAGTTTAGGCATAACCCATAGATAACCTCCTAATAGATGCCGCCTGTTGAAAATTTGTACTGAACCGAGCTCACCAAATTCGGAGGAAAGCAAGAGACGCGGGAAATGCAATTAAGACGTTCTGATTCGCTAGATCAAGGTCGAACTAGAAACGCACTTATAGCTAGTGATGGGCAACCTTTACCAGGCTGCATCCAATTAGTGAATAAAAACGATAATATTGTAACACAAATGATTAAATTTTTCTATGCTGATCTGGAAGCAAAAGAAAAGCATATAATATATCAGCTGCTTATGATTCCGCGCAAATCGTAAAAGCCGACTGAGGGCCTGGGTTTAATAGTGTCCTATATGTAGGCGACATGCTGGCAACCTGTTACTATTTATTGTACTAAGTTATACTAAAATTTTAATGAAAACCTCTGCTAAACGTGGCTCAAGTGGGCTTGTCTTACTCAAAGCTTTGCCTACCCCTATGGGAGACAGACGTGACGGTAGTATGTTTGTAAATTATTTAATGACTTATGACAGCAGGATGATATTTAGATACAGGAAATAAGAAATTATAAGAAAACAAGTCACTTACGTATTATAAATTTCGTGGTATTTACAAAAGCTAACTAATGACATTATAACGTCATAACTGAAGGTTTACGTCATACAATGTAAGGTGATAAGATAATACATGAATTTGTTATTCATTGTATTAAGTTACAAGAATAACTATTAATACAGTCAAAGAAGACATAAAACAATATAATATTACTAAAACTAATTTATATAACCAATTTCACACGAAACGTAATCGAAGAATATAAACAATAAGTGCTATCCATAAACGTAGTTAAAAAAGTAATATACTAATAATACCACACGCAAAATAGATGCCTTGACGTCGAGTTGCGGACACCAGCCCGTTACACCAAGTACCAAGTATACTAATAATATTTGTTATACTGATTAAAATGAGGATCTCAAATCTTCCCAACCCTAGTGTTACACGTGTCTTCGACAAAAAGAGGTGTTTAATTGTAAGAACGTAATAAAAGAAAGAGACCTGTTAGAAAGACATCAACGAGAGATTAGTTTCCTTCGTAATTTTTTAGTGTTAGCCATTTTTTTACCTATGCTAAACTTGTAAATAACGTAGTTGTAACTTACCGGTGAAACGTGATCCCATCTTTTTGAAAGTTTGAGGTCCTGGATGTTTTTCCACACCATTTTACGGCACAAATAGTTATTTTTATAGTTCGTATCACCAAAACCAGCGTAACAATACAGGAATATCAGGAGATGCGCACGGGTCTGATACTTGGTCGAAAGTAAGTGATAATTTTTTGTAAAATTTCATACATTATCAATTGCACGGATGTGAAGTGCGCGTCAGTTGCCCTGTATACCTTAATCTTAAAAACAAGAATAAATTTGCAACCCCTCAGTTCAGACCTGACAAAGTTAGCTCGTCAATTTATTGGGTACTGTATACGTTTTTATAATAAAATTCCACAAATCCTACAAAATTTATTAGAAAAATAGTTCAAAGGTCATGTTAAAAATGTACTAAGCAATTAGAAAAGCTTATTATAAAATCAATGATTACATAAATGATACGAATGCATGGTATACTTCCAGCTATTGAATGTTTGTGATGAATGATGATACAAAAAAATCATTCTTAGATGAAATTGACCTGCTAAGGACTAGTGGTTTTAGACTAGTGGTTTTTGATTTGATGTGACGATTTCAAGTGTAATTTGATTACCTACGTAATAAAGATACTCGATTTGACTTATAATGCTGTGAAGAAGAAAACGACGATGAAAAGAAGAAAATGTTGAGTAAGTAGGTAAAATTTCGTACTGAAACTGTAGCGACGCGCTCTCAATGCCCAAGAAGCGCGTGGCATATATACATACCAACCCAACGCCCCCGTTGAACGCCCGTCAAACGCTTGCCATGTGAACGTACTCTCACGTTCTTGCGGAATTATGGAAATGATAAATGAATTATCTGCCGCCAAGCTGTAATATCAGCATTACTGTGTTCCGGTTTTGAAGGGTAAGGGTGCTGGTGAAATTACAAGCACATGGGACTTGTCAATTTATGTCTCAGGGTGAGAAGAGCAGTGGCAGTGGCCCTTAGATCCTTGTGATTTAAAGCTCTGAGCGGCACTGCAACTGTTATGGACAGATGTGTAGCTTACCATCAGGCGCACGACTTGTTCGTCCCGTCTCTTGATATTATAAAAAATTCGAACACATTTCGAATTGTCATATTGACAAAAGGCAATTTTTTTTATTTCTTAGAAAAGGGACTAAATTTATATATTGCGTCACATTTTCGAAATTTTTTCAGAGGTAAAATTCTTCTTTCCAATGCTTTCGATTTCTATGATGATCTTATTTTTAACCGACTTCAAAAAAGGAGCAGGTTCTCAATTCGACTGTATTTTTTTGTGAATGTTACGAGATTTGTGAACCGATTGTGATGGTTCTTTTTTTTTTTGTTGAAAAGTATTGGGCCCATTTCAATTTGAAGAAAATATTCCACCTCCAAGGGTGGCAAACTAGGGGACGCATCCGGTTTCGCGCAACTTCTGGTAACCGATTACAATAAAATTTGGCAAATAGAATAGAAAACGTTTATTTGCCAGTATACAGATCCAAAATAAATATAGGTACAATGTATTCAACCTGCAAGCAGGTGTGCAAATATTAATTGAATTAAATATTTTGACCTCTAAAATGAATTGCACTTCAAATCAATATAAATTAGCATTTGTAAATTCTAAATATTCTTTATTACTATAGAAGCAATGTGTCATAAGCCATTTGTCAATTGTGATTTAAACGTAGGTCCGTGTAGCAATGTAAATTCATTTGGTAAACTATTGAAGATCTTTATACACATATTGAAGCAGTTATTCTTATAAATTAATTTATGGCATCGAGGTTGATAAAAAGATTCATAATTTTAGCTCTGGTTTGCCTTTGCAACCTCACCACGTGTTTTAAAATATTGAGGATGAGTGTTCACGAATACGCACATATCCCTTATATACACGCGTAGCAAAGGCAGTATGTTTAGTAGCTGAGTATGGACGAAACGTAGCCGTGATAGGCCGTCAGCGCCGCTTCTCGAGAGACAATTTGCCTTAGTCTTCGCAGAGCGTAAACAAATCTATTTAGTCTCATACAAATTTTTTCGATGTGATCCTTCGAGTTAAGATGTTTACCGATTGTGAGTACAAGAAAGTTAAATGTGTTAACTTCATCTATAGTGTCGGTGTTGTAGTGATTTTTAATTGGTATGAGATTTGAATTATATTATTATTAAATGTCGTAAATTTAGCTTTGATTATATTAATACGTAGGTTATTAATGTCCATTCAACTTATTACATCTGTTAGTGCTTTATTTATGTTGGTGTTAAACGTCGTTATGTTTTCGCATTTTATTATAAGAGTTGTATCGTCAGCAAATTGTATACATTTATGGTCAATAGCATATGGAAGGTCGTTAATATAAAGGAGGAATAGTAAAGGACCCAGGACGCTACCTTGAGGAATTCCAGTATTACTTGTTTCTAAGTGTGATCTGAAGGTTTGTTTGTCAAGTATATTATTGTGTTTGATTATTGTAAATCCACTTATTTCTGAAAATTGTGTTCGATTTGTTAAGTAACTTTCTACCCAATCAAGAGCTCTTCCTCTAATGCCATATATTTCAAGCTTGTGTAGGAGCTTGGAGTGATTAACAAAGTCGAAGGCTTTACTCATATCTAGAAAGACTGACATTACAGAAATAAGGAGTAGAGGCGTTCACGCTTTCTGTTATGATACGTAATAATTCAAAACATGCAAGAGTTGTAGAGCTACCTTTTCGAAATCCAAATTGAGAGTGGAATATAATTTTATGTTTTTCTAAAAATTTCAATTTCAAAGAGCCTTTTCAAATATCTTGGATAGAGTTGGGATTAACGTTATTGGTCTATAATAATTATTAGATGTATTTCCACGAACTTTTCAGGTCTTTTTCTATAAAAAAGTTAGAATTATTTATGTGTATGTTACGCGATTAGTCCGACATTTGTTAACTGATTTCGATGATTCTTTTTTTTTTGTTGGAAAGGGAGTACCTCAGCAGTGATCCCATTGAAATTTGAAAAAATATTCCATCTCAAAGGGTGAGCAATTAGAAGGAATCCGGTTTATTAGATATCACTCACTTTCCGTTAACCAATTGCCACAAAACTTGACAAATAGTTTGTCAAGAATTACAATACTAATAATCCACAAACTTTCGAGATCAAATTTTTGTTTATTATAAAGTTATTATTATTATGTTATTTGTGGTGATTGGAGCAATGTTTACTTTCTTTTTAAGTTATAGAACAAGACACTATGTTGTCACAGTAATAGTCATACCTTATTTCGTCGCCTTACTTTCTCAAACTCGTATCTTAAAGCACAAAGTTACTGAAATGCAAAAAATGGATTGTACATAAAAATTATGCAGGCTGATTTCACATCACATTTCCGTCATATTTACACACTAGCTTTTACCTATTCTTAATGTAATGCATCTAAATTAATACCCTTGATAAGAAATTTAAAACAAATAGAAAGTTTTGCCATCTCCTGAATAATCATTCTTTACAAGATACAAGTCTGAGAAAGTAACACATCGATTTGTTGTTTTCAGCATTTTTTTGCGCAAGAGTTCCACATACTCAGATTGAATAACCCCTTAATATTCTACTAAAGACGTAATTAAAATCCTGTATATAATATTATGTGAATACGAATTTGATATAGAAAAAAACACCTTACCACTGAGCCTTACTCTTTCCAAGGCAGGTGGTCCACGTAACATTTTGGCCTTCATATGTCGAAGCACGTTGTTGCGAAGGTCGAGCTCTTGGAGCCGCGGCATTAGCACCACCATATTTGCTGGCACCTTCCACAGTGATGTTAGGCCGTGCATTACTAGTTTCTGTTAAAACAAACAAAAGTAACATTGTAATGTTGATTGTAACGAATATTATGATGTTTCACTATTTATTTATTATTTTTATTTTACGTTTTTAGGGAAACTAACAGCTATATATATAAATAGTTATAATAATATATATTTAGAAGAAATATCATAAAGAGAAATTCATACTTGGATTACCTATTAGAAATTATAAAGGATGGAATAAGAAAAACTATAGAGCAGTCGCTTAAGTAGGTCTGGAAAAGTAGGGATAAAGTCAAGATCGTACTGTTTCGCTATTCTGTTATATTATAGCACTCAGACCGCAAATTCGGAACGGCGCGTACAGCGGAGCGTCGTTTGGAGCGTACACGCTACGCCACCGCACATACTGACTTCTATTGAGGAGTCTTGGTAACAGCGTTTACAGTGTACATTTTAGCGTCCTGTTCAGTGGAGGGCGGGGCATTTTAGTAAGCGTGCACGCTAGTTCACATATCGTATTTAAATCCGTTAAGGCGTTTTAACATTGGAACGGTTTCGCATCGTTACGAGCAAATACAAATAGTGTTTTATTAAAACTCAGATTATAAAACAATATTGTTTAGTAACCTGAGTACTAAACGATTTGCCAGTGAAAGAGGTTGCGTGTGGTCATAAATTAATTAATTTAATTACGCACACACTCACTCAACATAGCCCCACACTAGGGAAACCCTGTGTCGCGGGTGCCATGGACACACACATAGACAACCACACATTACACCCAAACTCACGTGAGAAATATATGTAGGCCTTACAAATATTTATCCCGGCCCGGGAATCGAACCTGCGACCTCTGCGTGGCAGTCATGCGGCATGGTAACCGTTCAGCCACGTAGGCAGTTAAATAAGAATAACAAAATATGGAATGAGAAGACATTGAAGTTTAGAGAAAAATTAACGCTATTTTTAAATATGACTTATTAAATTAAAGAAATAACTGCACGATATGACTTATTTTATTTAATGCATGGTGATTTGAAATCCATGACTCTGGCCGTATTTGCCACTTCTCTTATTATCATTTCGAACGCCATTATGTCACAATACTATTCCAGACGAATCGCATTCGCAAATTAAACATGAAAGCAAATAGTTATTAATTGGCATAACTATTAGTGCCTACATAAAGTATAACCAAAAATATAAAACCACATTAACTAGTTATTTAATCCGTAAAAAGTATTTGATCTCAACATTTTACAACTATTATACTGTCGTTACAAAGTGGCATTAGAAAAATTGTTATCACAAAAGTCTGATATATGTAGTAGAAGTTGTTATTCTGTTTTTAAACAAAATAAAACAATACGTGTATGGACCCTGCGAAGACGCTTGTCCTTGATAATGCTGACTCTGATTAGTCAATGTGATATATTAAACATCCCGCTGTAGCGAAAACTAGTTGCATGCACATTTTATACCTACTTATGTCTAGACACGTGTGGCATAAAGAATAAAAGATATAATTTATAGGAAAATTTATTTTAAAATAAATGTAGTCTGTGCAAAGGCCGAATGGAACGGTATCCGATGAGAGAGGTTTGACATTTAAGATTTAAATTCAAATCTACGCCACTTTCGTAAGAACATAAGAACGGTCCCTAGTGCCTTAATGCATGCATGTTTTGCATGTGACAGCCCACGCTCAATGCGAACCCGTCCCGCTGAACGCCCCGCAGGTCGGAATTTGCTGCCTCACTTCATGCTTCGCCAAAGGAACATGAAGTATGCTAGGATGTCGAAATGAAGCCACTGGAACACGTAAACCGATATTACGGAGAAGTTCAGGACAGTCGACTGATCCACTTACTACTTTAAGTGGAAGATACAAAACATCAGCCGTCACCCTTTTTTCATATAACCGTAGTATATGAAATTTTTGGCACCGCTTAAAACAGTCAGATTTTGTTTTAAATAAGTGCGCATTTGACCTCCTCATCTCACCTGATGGAAAGTGACGATGAAATCGACGATACAGCATGCACACCTAAATAATGCCTATTCACTCTCACCTTGAAAAGGTTCAAGTTATAGCGTTCATGTAAATATAAATCTTACTAAGGTATTCATTTATTTTTGTGAAGTTACTTCACTAGTTTGTTGTAATTATTAATTCAAAGTTTAAACAAAAATCTTTCGAGCTATTTACTTTATTACAAATAATAAATAGCTCGAAAGATTTTTTTGCATTTAAAAGTAACATTTTCAATTTCAGCTGGAACAATAGTAGAGAACAACTGGCAGAGCGCGTCGCGAATACTAATCAGACTAGAAATGTAATTTATTTTGTTTGACATTGTTTCGGTTAAGAAACTGCTGCGCACCGTAACCACTCGTGCGGCTTTCAATGATGTGACCTTTCACAAACACGAACTTTTCTATTTCGTATGTATATTATTTCTGCAGGATTTAAAAAATCGAGCCTCCAAAATCGTCCCTCTATTTTAGCGAACATTTTTGTCGCAACGACGTACGATCGCGCTTAGCTTTCAAAATTCTCCAATAATCGTCAAACGTGTCGAAAAATAATAAGAATAAGTACCAAATCTTTTCTCTTTTTTTGTGATACTACGTGACGGGACGAACAAATGGTACGCTTGGTGGTAAGCAACGTGCCTGTCCATATGAATTCAAAACTTGAAGGGCACTGCTACTGCGCCCTAAAAAATCTTTGGTTTCGTAATCGTATAAACAAAATCCATCGTTTATCCTCTCATAACTGACGTACAACAAAAAGGATTTTTCAATTGTTACACTTGATGGCACTAAGTCACCTGGCATCTTAAGGAGATTGGTAGAGTCGGAATCACAATGCAGTGACAAATCCTATTATGGTTCTCGAATAAAAATTTCAGCTTCAATATGGCGTATTGTAGCAAAAAATCTATGTATAAAAGACAGCTACCACATATTGTAGTTTTTTATACCTACTTATGTATAGACACGTTCATACGTGTAGCATAAAGAGTAAAAGATATAATTTATACACAAAGTTATTTTAAAACAATTACGTAGGGGAAACACAAAGGCCGAATGTAGCGGTATCCGATGAGAGAGGTTTGACATATATGATTTAAATTAAACTCTACGTCACTGGCGTAAGAACATATGAAAGGTCCTTAGTGCCTCGATGTGCTGCACCTCTGACTGTACTTACAATCTCGTACCCTTTTATACCAACTATATGTATGTAGGTATAAAGATAAATGAACTTATAAATTGACCTAACTTGATGAATGTGTACTTTGATTGGGTACAATTTGATACTCATCAAAGTTTGTATCGTTTTAGGTACGATTTCGCTTCGATATATATTTAGATAGTATGTTGTATAGTTTAGTTTATTTCTCTCAACATTACAAATTTCATACAAATACAATTACATGTCATTTTATACTACTCTTCGAAAAGTGAGCGTCAGCTTACAAAATAATGAAGAAATAATTATATAACAGTGAATCATAAGTACACAATTGTGTACATATACAAAAGAAACATAATTAATTAAACTAATAAATAATCCAATGAAACTAACAATGTCAAGTGTATACAGGAAATGTCAATATGGATTCTTAATAAGTAATAAATGTATATTAAAGTATGATAATACGGTGAATGACAAATTCATTAATAAATATAATAATTTAATTATTTATTAAGTACTTTGAGTGTACTCTGTTACTGAGTAAAGGGATTTTTCCAATAAAAGGTTCTTCAGTCTGCAACTGAACGCTTCCTCACAACATTAGTTTTTTAGTTCGGCAGGTAGATGCTCATAGTAGGTCGGTCCTATAACCCGCGGGATTTTTTCGTGAAGTGCAGTGCGACGCGGTACTGATCGGAGTTGTCCCGCACGACGGAGGCACCCACCCAGCACCTCCACTCGCCCAAACTAAGTGTTTCCGCGTGAACATAATGACCTCAAAATCATATTGCGAGTAGTGGGTCATTATTCGGTGTACACCAAACAGCGCCTTGCAGGATTGCCTCTGGATTATGCCAACCATAGCTCATAACGCAAGCTTTTGCTTCGCTGTACATATCCTTTACGCAGTTGCGTATATTGCTTTTTAATTACAGACGTCCTGAATAAATTAATCGAAAGTGGTGCTAATGGACATTAGTGCTGGTATAATGTAGGTGGCAAATATACACAACCAATTTCAGTAAGTAAAGTGCTAAATTTTTCTTTTGTAATACAGTTTTGTGAAGTGTGCGGAAAGTTGTAGTTTTGCAACCTAGTGAGCAAAAGTATTTTTTTAGTAGCAAGGAGTTACTTAGTGTTTGTTTAATTAGTAATTGCATACAAAGCGACCAATTAAAGAAAACTGCTTTGAAAATTTGCTACATTGACGCCTTGCGAAAGAATTCGTCCAGTTTCGTTTGAGGCTGCTTGCGTGTTGCCTGGCTCATCTCTGTGGGAACTTGATACGAAAACCCTTGAGTCAATCTGTCTGGCTCAAAGAGGACAAGGGAAGTGCTGAACCATCGGGCTGAGGTTCACCGGAGATTGTTATCAGACTGGGAGTAGTTACCCATGAACCTCAGTGCTAGCCACAAGAGCATTAAAGCGGTTCTCCCTGTTCTCAATAAGTGGTTGGAGAGAAAACACGGTACTCTCAGCTTCCGGCTCACGCAGATGTTCTCGGACACTTGGTTATTTAGGTACCTGTGTCGTTTAGCTGAGAAAGAGCCCACGGTCATCACGTGTCCCGGGGACACATCGCAGTACCTACACCGTTGAGAAGTGCCCAGTGTGGATGGAGCCGCGTCATGACCTAGTATCAGCAGTAAGCAGCGACCTCTTGCTCCCGACCTTGATCCGAGTTATGCCGCAGTGACGAGTAGAAAGCGAAGGTGTCCTTTTGCGAAACAGTGATGTCCCAGAAGGAAGCTGCGGAACGCGAGAGAGAGATTTCTACCTCCCTCTCTAACCGAAGCAAGCGAACCGGGTGCAGGAGATTGTGCGACGA